TCTTAAAGGATACCCTTCAACATTTCACATAATACTGGTTGGGTGGTAATGAACTCCTTTAGCTTTTTCTTGTCTGTGAAGCTCTTTTTCTGACCTTCAGTTCTAAATGACAGCTTGGTTGGGTAGAATAATCTTGGTTCTATATCAATACTATCCATCACTGAATATATCTTCCCTTTCTCTTTTGGCCTGCAAAGTTTCTGTTGAGAAATCAGCTGACAGTCATAATGATGGTTACTCCCTTGTGGGTAACTAACTGCTTTTCTCTGGCTGCTTTTAAAATTATCTTTGTTTTTAACCCTTGGCATTTGCATTATGATATGTCTTGGTGTGGGCTTCTGTGGATTCCTCTTGTTTGGAACTCTGCACTACCTGGACTTATAAATCTACACCTTTCACCAGTTAGGGGAAGTTTTTTGTCATTATTATTTCAAAACTAATTTCAATATCTTTTTTTTTATTTTAAGTGTTATATTTTTTTATTTTTGTATTAAAATTCTTTATTGTTTAAAGTAAATAAGTCTCATTTTTCCCCATTGACCTCTCCCTGGTCGCTCCCATCCCCCACCACATGGCCTCATCCCCCTGCTGTCTGTGTCCATTAGTTATGCTCATATACATGCATACAAGTCATTTGATTGATCTCTTATCTTCCCCCACCCTCCACCCTCACCTTCCCCCTAGGTTGGACAGTCTGTTCAATGCTCTGGCTCTATTTTTGTTCATCAGTTTATGTTCTTCATTACATTCCACAAATGAGTGAGATCATGTGATATTTATCTTTCTCTGACTGGCTCATTTCGCTTAGCACAATGCTTTCCAGTTTCATCCATGCTGTTGAAAATGGTAAGCGTTCCTTCTTTTCTACAGCAGCTTACTATTCCATTGTATAGATGTACCACAGTTTTTAAGCTACCACTCTGCTAATGGACACTTAGGCTGCTTCCAAATCTTAGCTGTTATAAACTGTGCTGCTATGAACATAGGGGTACATATATCTTTTCTGATTGGTGTTTCTGATTTCTTGGGATATATTCCTAGAAGTGGAATTACTGGGTCAAATGCGAATTCCATTTTTAATTTTTTGAGGAAACTCCGTACTGTTTACCATAATGGCTACACCAGTCTGCATTCCTACCAGCAGTGCACGGGGGTTCCCTTTTCTCTACATCCTCGCCAGTACTTGTTTGTTGATTTTTTTTATGATAGCCTTTCTGACTGGTGTCAGGTGATATCTCGTTGTTGTTTTAATTTGCATCACTTGGATGATTAGTGACTTTGAACATATTTTTATTTGTCTTTTGTATGTTCTCTTTAGAGAAATGTATATTCAGGTCTTCTGCCCATTTTTAATTAGATTGTTTGTCTTCATTTTATTGAGTTGTATGAGTGGTTTATATATTTGGATATTAACCCCTTATCAGATGTATACAGTGGGTTCCCTTTTCATTTTTTTAAAATATATTTTATTGATTTCAGAGAGTAGGGGAGAGGGAGAGACAGACAGAAACATCAGTGATGAGAGAGAATCATTGATTGGCTGCC